TTTTTTTTTTTTTTTTTTTTTTTAATTCTTAGGTCTTCTTTAAATATAATTCAATTAATTAAGATAATCATTCAAAAAGGAAAGGAAAAGAAAAGGAGGAATGGGCTGAAGTTGGGCCAGACATGGGCCAGAAGGCCCATTTAGCCATTAATCCATTGCACGCCAAATATTATTTAGATAATAAATCAAATATTCCTCCCCCACCTAACAATCAGCCTCAGAAAGCTGCCAATCCTACAACTCAACCAACCACAATGGATAATAATAAATAAATAAATAATAATAATATTTCAAACAAATTTTAAGAATGTAAGAAACACATTACCAATCTCCAGTTTGTTGCATGGAAAAAGCTGCCACTGTGTCTGTGTGGTTGTTAAATAGAACAAGATAAGCAAGGAAGATGGCACATGCTGTGACAAAAACATGCAGGCTTGTGTGAGCTGAGCTGAGCCTCCCACTGTTTCTCGGTCTCAAACCTCTGTGTCTTGAGTTTCATCCAACTGTTTTCTTACATCACATGCTACCTACTTTATCTTTCGGCCTCGTTACTAAACTAAATCGTTCATGTTGAAACTAGACAACTTGTAGACAAGCGTTGATGTTAAAAATTATGCTAGGAAAGATTTGATGAAATAATTGAGAGCATTGTATTAAAAGCTAAACGTTTTATCTTTGATGGGTCGAGGTCAAATTCTTGAATACAATTGTTAGGAATCCCGATTCTGCACACTGAAATGATATTGTCGATTTCTTCAAAATGTCTCGTAACAATAGAGAGAGTGTTTCTTATTTACAGACTCATGATTTTCCTCTTAATTAACATCCATCATTTTATACACTCGCGTTCATCAATAATTCCCCGTGTATAGTCGAGAGGCTCTCAATTATGTTTTTCTTATACGACATGCACCGGCTTGTGTCATTATTATGGTAATAAATGTGTGAAATGACGTGTTATGAAACGTTAGTGAAATATTTTGAGAGACTAAATTATTGAAACTAAAGAAAGAGTGTGTTGGTAGGTGGAGGTCAAAAGTTTTTGAAGGACTGGTAGTGGTAAAGTGGGGTGGAGGGATTGGAAAACCCTAATGATAATAATTGATGAACTCAAAGGGTCCCATTGAGCACATTGCTGCAGCTGATTGATCCCATAATAATACTGTACCAAACCAGAGACGCACAGAGACAGCCACCACATTCCCTCCTTTTTTTCTCTTTTAGTTTGTCACCTTCAATCAATTAACTCTCACCCTTTTCTAACTATTTCTTTCCGCTTATCCTTTCGGGATTATCCTCTTTCATCATTGTATGTAACTCTCATTATTGTGGTCTTCAAAATTTTTAAAACGTGTTTGCTAGAGAGAGTTTTTCACATTTTTATAAAGAATGTTTCGCTCTCTTCTCCAATGGATGTGGGATCTCGTAATCCACCATTTCGATATCGAGCACCCTCGATGACACTCATTTTCCTCTCCAATTGAGTGGGATCTCACAATTCACTCCTCGATCGAGTGGCAAGGTGGGATCTCACATTATGAAAAATTATGATTTAAATAATTTTGGAATGATTATTGTACTTGGGGAATATTAGATTGTGGTATCAAAACTATGATGTTCGTATACATTCATGATTAAACTATGAAATTAAATAGGGTGATTAGTTAGAGGTAGGCCCCCTTTCCCTTCCCTTGTTTAATCGTGCTTGAAAATAAAGAACTCCCAACTAGCCATGATATTAAAGTGAACAAATTTGGATATAATAAGGTCATAACCATGTGATTATGTGTGATATATTGGGATGATCTCAAAGCATATTTAGTGTGAGATTGTTAATGAAATGAATTATTAAGATATAATAATATTGGGGTGGGTATGATTTAAATAAACAGTAAATAAAAGTTATAAAGAAGTGGAGATAAGTGCAATATTTTTGAAGATTCACGTTGTCTCCTACTACCTATATCTCTTTACCTCTGGAATTGACATCCACACTTGATTTCACTGTTGTTTGTACTTTGTACTGTTCAACAAGTCACTCTCACCAAATACTATATCTTAAATCTTTTATTTTTATAAATAATATATGGTCTATTTTATTTAGGATTCCACAGTTATTTGAATGTCTGGATTAGGATAGTGACGAAGTCGAGGGGCCTTTTTGCAAAAGGAGGGTCCCACCCAGATATATTAATCATTATAAGAAAATTATAGCATTTAAGTCGAAAATAAAAAAAAGGAACTAATTAGATAGAGGGGGGAAGAGCGAGCGGAAAGTGTGGTGGTGGGTCGTGGCCCCGTGAGCCTCCGTGTATGTAGTTTCATGGCCATTTAAACACTGCTCCGTGGCCTCACATTATCACTTCCTACCTATGCTGTCTTTCCGGGCCCATTTTTTATTTTATTTTATTTTATTTTATTTTATTTATTTTTGGTGGGGGAGGGAGGGATAACGGGGAGAGTGGTGGTTTAGGGAGTGCCGTCTACTTCAAAACATAACGCCGTTTGGTCTCCCACCAACCCATCCTCTCCGCCGTTTACTCCCCTTTCCTCCGCCCTCTTTCCTCTCTGTCTCTCCGTCTCTCTCTCTCTCTCTCTCTCTCTCTCTCTCTCAATATCATACATTTAGTACACCCAAAAATAAAAATAAAAATAAAAACACACCCACAATAAATTATTAGGTTTGGATAGGAAAATAAAACATTAATTATAATTATATAGAGGCCTTACATAAAATAATGGATAATTAAACAGTAATAAGAGTGGAAGAAATGAAGTCGGAACAGTTGGTTTTGGCGGTGAAAGGGAGGGAAGGAAGGAAGGAAGGAAGGAAGGAATTCTGACTCAGAAGAAGAAGAAGAAGAAGAAGACACATAGAGGTGTAGAGAGGTGAGTGAGTTCTGATTCATCCAACCAAAAACATTTATTTTCAGTTTGAAACCCTAATAGCCCTAATAACCCTAAACCCTAACCGTGGGGATTCAATTTCTTTTTTGGTCTGAGAAATTCAGAATCAGAAGGGGGGGTGTAGCGTGTGTTCATGTCAGCTTTCTCAAAATTCCCTCACTTTCCACCATTTCTCCATTTCCTTAGGGTTTTTTTTGGCTTTAAAACAACATTTAGGGCAACGGACTTCAAGATCTGCCCCCGACCTTTCCCTTTCCGCATTCCCGTGTTACGCTGCTTTCAATTTTCACTCTACTGTTTAATGCTGTCGCTCTGCGCAGGTTAGCCTTGTTTTTCTGCGCGAATACTTTCTTTCTTCTTTTGTAATTAAACAAACAAAGAAAGAAGGAAGGCCAATTAATTACTTGCTTACTTGATTAAATATTAATCAGGGAAAGTTGGAGGGTTTAGGGTTTGTGTGACTTGTCGGGGTGGCTGCCCACAAAAAGGTTGGTTGATTCAATTATAAAATCATAACAAATCCTGAAAAGAAGCAGCACACAATTTTTTTTTTTTTTTTTTTTTTTAATTTATTTAAACTAAATCAAGTTCCATCCCCCCTCTCCTCTCTGCTTCTTTCTTTCTTTCTTTCCTTCTTTATTTAATAATTCAACTTCAAACAACGACACAAACCAACGCTGTTCATCAACCTTCTCTTCCTATACTCCATTTTATTTTCTCTTCTTCTTCTTCTTCTTCTTCTTCTTCTTCTGGTTTTTCCCATGCTTTTTGTGTATCTATCTTGAGTTTCTGATGTCTATACCCTTGGAACATGATTACATAGGCTTAACAGACTCTGAAATGTCCTCCGACAGACGCAACAATCCTGGGTTGAACCTTAGGGCCACTGAGCTCAGGCTGGGCCTGCCTGGGTCCGACTCACCGCTCCTCGACGACACTAATGGATACCCTCTCAAGACCTCCGTTTCCGGGGCCAAGAGGGGCTTCTCTGTAGCCATTGATAGAGCTTCTTCCAACTGGGTTCTGCCTGCCTCTGCCTCTGCCGGATCTGAACCTGATTCCACCAAAACTGGGGGATTGTTTTCTCCCAGAGTAGTTACTGAGAATAAGACTCAACCACCTGCTTCGCCTGTTTCTGGTGCTAAAGATGGTATTTCTACGTTGCCAAAGCCACTGCTCGAGGAAAAGCCGCAGCTTTCTCCCCCTGCAGCCAAGTATGCCTTACTTCCATTTCTTTTTCCCTCCCCACTACACTCTGCTTTAGAACTCCACCTGTTCAACATTAGTTTCTTTCCCTGCATTCCCTTTAACGTTCTTTCTAGCTTCTTCTCCCATTTAAATGAGATTTTTTTTTTTTTTTGTTGGGATTCAATCATGTAGCTGTAGTCCTTACTTTCTCTATGATCCTTCATCATCCACCATGTTCAGATTAGGAATTAATTTGAACAGATTTCTGTGGCCGTTTGATTGCAATTTTAATGTTTTTACATCCACATCTCCTTTTAAATTTCCCCACCTGGAAAACAGTTATATGTATTGGATTTCAAGATACTAAAAGTTCTTTCATCATGTCTTTACAGGGCACAAGTTGTAGGATGGCCACCCATTCGTTCTTTCCGGAAGAATTCAATGACAACGCAGCCCCCTAAAAATACAGATGATGCAGACGGTAAGATGGGATCGGGTTGCCTTTATGTGAAGGTAAGTATGGATGGCGCACCATACCTCAGGAAGGTTGATCTGAAAACCTATGGAAGCTATTTGGACCTCTCATCAGCCCTCGGGAAAATGTTCAGCAGCTTCACAATTGGTATGTTCTTTATGGCCACTCCTACACATCTTGCCTGATTTAGTAATCTTAATTACACCTTCCATAGTTTATTGGCAAGCACTTCCAGAATTGCGGATGTTTTAGATTTGGCATGTATGGAACGTGTTCGTATTTGTTCTAAATTGTTGCTGAATCACCACCCTTTACATGTCTAATTCTTTCCTCTAACTAAATCCAAAATCTACTAGAAGGTCAAGAACAGAACACCTGGTGCACGTGAACTAGTTTATGTTGCTCAGTTTCTCTCATGTGTAGATTTTGTAGCTAGTTTTTGTTTGTTCAATTATTAGTGACTTTCTCTTTGCTACTGCTCCATTCATTACATCAAGGTCATTGTGGCTCCAATGGAATTCCAAATCGGGATGTATTAAACGAGAGTCGATTGATGGATCTGCTCCATGGCTCTGAATATGTACTCACCTATGAAGATAAGGATGGCGACTGGATGCTCGTTGGTGATGTTCCATGGGAGTAAGTTCATTAAAGTAGCTCTATTGCAGTGGCAGTTCTTAACTGACTTCTTGTTGTTTCAATCTCTAAATGACTGGCTGCTAAAACAAGGCTTCATTTTGTTCGTCTTTTTTTTGTTACATAATAGGATGTTCACTGAATCTTGCACGAGGATGAGGATCATGAAGAGCTCAGAGGCTATTGGGTTAGGTATGCTATGCTATAGACTTAAATAATTTCTTAATTTTGTGTTTCTTACAAATTAAAATCAGACAAGTTATAGTGGGATTTCATCTTCTTCATGATGATAAGCTTTGAGAATTTGGGCCTTTCTTCAGTGCTCTCTTAGTTACCATCATTATCTCTCCACTTCTAAAGCCTATTCTTTTTCTTAGAATTAAGCATCTTTCATTATCATAAAATTTGATCCCCACCCCTAAAGAAAAAGATCTATCAAACAAAACATATTAGTTTAAATTCCATTATGATCGGATCTTTTAACAAAGTTTATCATAATCTGATGCTTTAGTCATTGCCATTACAAGGAGATGCTATTTCGTGATATGGATTGAGCAATATCTAATAAAAATGGGGAATCAGAATAAAAAGTTAACCCCGCCCAAAAAAAGAAAAAAAAAAAACTTCTTCGCCAGTGACCCCATTTGTAAAAGCTTGGCCTTTCTCTCTTTCTTTTTCTTACAGCTCCCAGGGCCATGGAGAAGCGCAGAAACCTTAACTAGCGAACTCGTTTGCTATCGATCGGGCACGTTCGAGCAAATGATGCTCAATGATTGATGTAACATGTGTGCTGGATTTAGATCGAGCGAGAGAATCTTTACTGAATATTGTTGTTCTTTGTGTATGAGTTCTAAATATTGGAGAGTTGATGTATGAAGATAAGTTCTTTGTTAGCAAAGATGATTTTCAATAGGACGGTTCGGAGTTTCTTAGTTTGCCCCTCCCCCTCTTCTTTGCCATTTTACTTTGTTTGCTTTACTACACTTTACTTCGTATTGTAAATGATTTGTTTGCTATGGCAATGGTATCCTCACCCTTCATTAATTGTGTTCTTCTTTCTGGATTGAGTATTCAAATCAGCTATCACCAAGATTTTAACAGTGTTCTTCACATAATAGGAAATTGATGAATATGATCATTCATATCAATGAGTCAAAATACAGAGAATAATATGAATGAAGCTTTTATCATCTCTCAGAACAAAATGCTACAAAGCAGCTTTAGTAAACTCAACTCTTCCCTACCAAAAAAAGAGAGGAAAATGAATATTCAAGTTTCTTTCCATAAAAGTAGTTTTACCTTAGCTTCATATTCTTCTGTACTGCTACAATGGCCCCATGTCTAGCTTAACTCTCCATGCTTGGTACCCTGTTCTGCTTCATTCATTCGCATCTGCAACTGTTTCGCCAATGGTGAAACGAACAAATCGTCGAACTTTTATGTTCTCACCAAGAGAAGCAACAGTTTGCTTTACCAAATCCTTCACCAAAACGCTATCATCCTTGATGAAAGGTTGTTCTAAAAGCACAAGCTCTCCGAGCCTCTTGGAAATCCGTCCATCAACGATTTTCTCCCTAATGTTCTCTGGTTTTTTCTGAAGGTCTTCCCTCTGCAATTCAATCTCTCTTTCTTTTTTGACAACGCTTTCTGGGATGTCCTCCATTGACACATATTGCACCTCTGGGCATGCCACGATCTGCATTGCAAGGTCGTCGACCAACTCTTTGAATCTTTCGTTTCTCCCCACGAAGTCAGTTTCACAGTTCACTTCAATTAGAACACCAATACGGGAGTCATGAATGTAGGATCCGATTCTTCCTTCAGCTGCTAGACGACTAGATTTCTTATCAGCGCTCGAGAGGCCTTTCTTTCTCAGGTACTCTTGTGCCTTCTCTAGATCCCCACCAGTTTCAGAGAGGGCTTTCTTACAGTCCATCATCCCTGCTCCGGTTTCTTCTCGGAGTTTTTTAACAAGGGCTGCGGGAACGGCAACAGCAGCAGTCCTGCAATACAGCATTGGCATTAGCATCACTTCAAATGGAATGTCTTACAGCACAGATGAAAAAAGTCCTTACTCCAAGAACTAAAAATGGAAACAAAACGATCATTACAAGAATGCAATGTGAAAGAAGAGCTCATAGAAATCGATGAATTAAGAGAAGACCACTGACTTGGGAACAGTTTCTTTTGCTTCGTCTACACCGGGCTTCTCCTCTTCTACTGGTGTAGTTACAGCAGGTTTAGCTGCTGTCTGTGCAGCCACCTCAGCAGCAAAATCTTGGCTTTTCTTTTCCAAGCCTTCTCCAAGATTGAATCTCACAAATCTCTTAACCTTAATATTTTCTCCAATGGTTGCAATAGTTTGTTTCACCCAGTCCTTTAGCACCACCTTATCATTCTTGATGTATGGTTGTTCAAGCAATGCCAACTCCTCAAGTCTCTTCCCTATCCGTCCTTCAACGATTCTTGACCTCATCTGTTCGGGTTTAGATAAAAGATCTTCCTTCTGCATCTCAACCTCTCTTTCTTTGTTCACCATCTCTTCTGGCACATCTTCAGTCATCACATATTGTACTTGAGGACATGCGGCAACTTGCATGGCCAAATCATCAACCAACTCCTTGAAGATATCTCCTCTCGAGACGAAATCTGTTTCACAGTTCACTTCTATTAAAACACCAATCCTACCATCATGAATGTAGGAACCTATTCTTCCTTCAGCTGTGGCTCTACTAGCTTTCTTTTCTGCACTTGCTAAACCTTTCTTTCGGAGGAACTCCTGAGCTTTAGCAATGTCGCCTCCACTCTCCGCCAAAGCTTTTTTGCAATCCATCATTCCTGCTCCTGTTTCATCACGAAGCTGCTTTACCAAAGCTGGCGATATCACAGCTGCAACACATCAGACATTCCAAGAATTAAATAAAGCTATTTGCAGGTGAGCAACATCAATATCAAGTAAAACCAACATGGTAATCAGTGGTTATCTCACGATTGCGCTACCAGTTACCCAAGTAATCAGTGGTTTTCTCACATATCATAACTCAATAACAAAATTGACCAAATAGTTTATTTATTTATTTTTTTTTTCTTTTGTGCGCGCGCGTGCGTGTGTGTGTTCCATATGATGATACGTCCAAGTGATAACTGAATGTAAAAGAAAGAAAAAGAAAATCCAAATGATACAAAAACAACCTTTTGATGCAACTTCAGGAGAGGCTTCTATCTTTTCTTCTGTAACTGGTGTAGAGGAGAGAACTTCAGGGTTTTCAGCAGGTGCCTGGATATCAACTGGATTCTCAGCAACTTCTTCACTAGATTGACCTACAGAAGATTGGATTTGATCCTCAGTTGAATAGCCAGAAACATTATAATTTCATCCAGTTACAAGTCCACGTCTTAAAAGAGTGAACGCTTCATTAGTGAATAAGCGTTCAAACTTTTGATGTTGAACTAACACAACTTGAGGTAAATTAATCATGACCTAGTAGTTCAGATTGCTTACTGAATAACATACATCAATAATTACTTGTTAGTGATAGCTCAAAATTCTATGAACTATTCATTTTAATTGCAAATAGATTATTATTTCCAAAGATGCCTCACCCTGTCAAATTCTAGCAATAGGCCAAGAAAAAATTGCCCAAACAAGTTATAGTTATACTGGCTTCTCAGTTTTCAGTTCAAGTTGTTTGAATGAAGCTAAATCAAAAAGTAGATATCCACCATCGTGATTGAGTAGTTAAAAAGTAACATATTGAAAATTTCAATATAATTCTGAAATTTACCTAAGCTCGTGATGCTACCATTTGAATCAGATTCTGGTTTGTCCTCTTCTTTTTCAGATGAAGAAGCAGAAACAATTTCATTTTCCAATTTTTCTTGGCTTTCCTCACTTTCTTTCTCCGTAACAACACTATCTTCACTAACTGGACTTTCTGAAGAGACTAAATTGTTGGTTTCATCATCAGGGGCGATTACTTTCTCATCAGTCTCCGGTCCATCAATCGGTTGAGCAGCCTCAACCACCTGGACTTCTTCTGGTTGCTCGTCTTCTGAAGCCTTTACTTCAGAACTTCCCCCTACTTCTTTCTCAGTCGTATCAGTTACACTATCCACAATGTTTTCCGAACAAGATATTGTGCTTTCTCCTTCATCTTGAGTGACCAAAGCATCAGATGATGGGTCATCTAACACTTCAGGCTTATCAGCCGCTTGCTCTATCGCTAATTGGTTGTCATCAGAAGCCTTTGTTTCAGGACTTCGCTCAGCTTCTTTATCCTCCGCATCAACTACGTCATCCACAATTTGTTCTGAAGTAGATAATAAGCTTTCCGAGTCATCTTGAGTCACAGCAGATGAATCAGCTGAACTTGCAGGCTCATCAACTTCAACTGCTCCGTCAACTATAGAAGGCAGACTTTCCTCATCACTTATTGCCTCATCTATCACTTCGGTGGAATCATCAGCTACGGTCTGATCTGCATCAACTATTCCTTCTACTATTTCTGTAACCTTCTGGACCACAGATTTTGTAGCCACTTCCTTTACGTTTTCCCTCTCATCTAAAAATGTAGCAATATCTTTGTTCTTACGAAACGCTAACAAGAAGGGGTTTGTTGCAGCAAAAACTTTCCCTTGACTGACCTGAGAGTCCGATGTTTGATTGTCTTCTTCTTTTTTCATGGTCAAAGTTACCTGTCCTCTTGCAATCCGCAACACCCTAACATCAACCTCTTGGCCAATTTCTAATGTAGAGCCACCCATAAGATTCCCAAATCCTTCAAAGGCTTCCTCAGAATTGGGGAGGAATCCTTCCTCTCCCTCGGGAAGAGATATGAAGGCACCGGACCTAGTAATATTTTTCACTGTCCCCTGCAAATCATGCCCCTTCACAAACTTTGAGCTCTTCTGCACCCCATCCCTCTTAGGTCCTCTAGCTTTTGGAGAGGTCTTTCTTCCAGGCGCAGGTTTATCATTGGTAGCAGAAGATTCCTTCCTTTCATCACTTTCACGCATTGATAGAGAAATTCGTCCAGTTTCAGCGTTTGCTTCAATCAATCTTACTTTCACCTCTTGTCCGACAGAAACAACGCTTGCAACATCTTTAACAAAGCTATCACTCAACCTTGATACATGTACTAAGCCATCAGTGAATGCTCCAAAATCAACAAAGGCACCAAATGGTTGAATTGATCTCACTTTCCCAGTAAAAGTTGCACCAGGAATGAGTTCCTCATTATTTACCGCTGGCATCTCGCTCTTCCTCACAGGTCTCGAACGTTTTGACTGAGTAGGAGCAGCAGTACCAGCATCTGATTTAACAGGGTCCTTTTCATTTGTTGCAATTGCGGAAGAAAGTTCTGAGCTACGATTTAATCCTTCACCAGCAACCGGTGAGTCTGATTCTTCCACTGACACATCGGTTCCTGTGGCAGAAAATATTGGGAGTCTACGGCCATGATTACAAAAAAAGTTTTTACTGCAATTTGGAAACAGCCTAACTGAACTTGATAGGGGCAAAAGAAATCCTTGGCTATGAAGTATATGTTCAGTGGGTTTTCTAGAAAAGCTGAATCTTGTTGAACTATTGCTCTTCCTAGTATAGGAGGCTATAGGAACAAGTGAAACATTGCTGATGGAAGATGGACTTATCACCGACATTGTATTTAGTCAAGAAAGTTATTGCAGCAGAAAAGGTTCTGACTGTAGGGAGAAGAGCCCCTTTTTCTTGTTAGTTCTCCATCTCTTGCTTCCCCCTGCAATAGACATTAACAGCATCCCAATTTATCCACGACAGTTCTCCATAATAGCATATCATGAGAGAGCAGCATAGATTTTCATTATCATATATACTAATGAAGAAACCATTGACACTTGGTTGATCCACCTCGCAGCAACAAATGCAGAAAAATTCAACTCTGAGGTTAACCAGATAAAACTTCAAAAGGGCATATTAACATTTATAAGTACTCAACATATAAGCTAAGCCATACTCATTCAATTAGCGTACATAAAAAATTCATTTAATAACAGAATGCTTTGCCAGCTTAACACAACATTAAAAATGATAGAACCTAGTAAGAAGAAATTCCCAGAAAATTTTCTCTAAAATTAGCTGTGTGAATTGGCTAGTTAAAGCTCTCCAAACTTCATCCAACATAATTAAGTTCACTCAGACATTTCAGATATCCAGTCCAAGAATACGGAACTCGAACCAGTTCGGTTCAAACCTCAATTGGACATTTAAACTCCTAATATTTAGGAGCTGATAAATTATATGGGCGTTCAAGAATCAAGCAAGTCGACACTACCCAATATAAACTTCCACAAGCAATGAAACACAGTTTCCCAAAACTAATTGCGGGTCTCCGACCAACAAACCAGAAACATCAACACGAATATGCATTCAAATTTAAGTAAGAATCTCAATCACTGAGAAGTAGCAAAGCTAGAAGCTGATAGTTAACAGAATTAAATTGAGAAGCCATTGAAACAGAAGCAACAAGGAGAAAAGAGCAGCGACCCATTGGAGTACGGGGCAGAATTGTGTACCTCGGAACCCCTAGAATAGAAAACCCAACACAGCAAAGAAATTGTCCGTTTGGAATGTTGGATAGAAGGAGATAGATAAAACAAAAAATTGGGAGACAGTCAGTGATAAGAAGCTATTCCATGATGGCAAGGAAGGAGAGGAGAGGGAAATGAAAGGTGGGTCTTTAAATCCTTATCTCAAGCTCTCTTGCTCTTAGCTCTTGTTCATGGTGACCTTCATTTTCTCGGGCTTGGTTGGATCGAGTCGAACGGCCCATTCACGGCGGCCTGGATTGCAAGATCGGACCTTTGTAAAAGGCAATAGAACCCAGGATTAGAGCCCAATTCAATTCTCGATTTGCCTTCATTTGGGTATTCGGCCCAAAGCCCAAGTTTCTTTCATTTCTTTTTGAAGGATTCAATTAAAAATTATATTCAGGCCTATTTTTTTTTAATTCTTTTAAATATTTTTATTTCGTTTAACAATTGGGGTTTGGATTCAAAGTTCAAAACTAATATCATTATAATACATAAAATTAGTGAAATGAGAGAGTTAGGGCTATGAAATTATTAGTGATAAATATATAATATAAAGTTTTAAACCAAATATCTTTGATATTATTTTCATCCAACTTAGTATTATTCTTGGAAGTGGAGTATCAACACTTTAAGCTAAGGAAAAATATTTTAATATTGAAAAAGTGGGAAGGAAAAAAGTGATGAATAAAATATTATTACAATATATATTTCATTTACTAAAGAATTTATGATCAAATAATGAGAATATATGGTTGGAATGGAGAGATTATGAATTAAATCAATGTAGGATATCCACACGGGACATTAATGAATAGATGTAAATATGATAAACAATAAGTTGTGACAAATAATCATAATTAATCATAACACTTAATTATTACAAATAATAATAATAATAATAATAATAATGATAATAGGAGTACATGGAATAGAAAAAAAAGATGGGTGGATTAAATATTTTAAATTAGGCGATGAACAATTAATTAGCCAATCTCTAAAAGTCATTGGAATCGAATCCTGCATGTTGAGGCAGCCCTCGGTTTCTGTGTCTCTCTCCATTATAAACATAATCAAGAGCATATCTAATCAAGTTTATGCATAAATAAATGGTGAATCAAGGCTTAATCATGTATGATTAGAGAGGCCTTTAATTAATGTTAATCTTCTTAAAATAATTATGGGTTAAAGCAAAGATTCCATCCACCTAGATTAAACAGTTTTGTGTCTTCTTATTAGTCGTTGTAGATTTAAATCTCTTTAATTTTTGTAATATTTTTAAAGGGAAAAGAAAAAGGGATGTTGGTTTGTTTTGAGTTGTGCGTTGTGGGAAATGGGAGACAAACAAGATCCCTTACATTAATATGTTAAAACGTTGAAGGGAAATTAAAGAATTGGCAAATGGTTTGATTTTAATGTATTTTTCTTCCACATCAAGATGGATCTAAACCCACCCCCTCTCTTTCTCTGTTGTTTCCAACGTTTAATTAGGGTGGTCCCAACCCTAATTTCATTTTAATACCAAACTTCTCAAACTTCTCGTCCATTAAATAAATGCAGGTCAACGTTAGTCTGTTAGGGACAGAATTCTATGGAGCCAACGTCCTTGTTTCCTTTTTTACAAAGCTAATTAGCTCAATATAATGTAAAGTCCAATCAAGAATTGAGAAGACGAGCTTGCCCAATCGACCTGAATTCTAAATAATGTTATGGGATTTGAAATAGAATATTGGGAAGGGATATGTATAGATTGATATGATATGAAGAGGTTGTTGTGTGTGTGTGTGTGTGTGCATGTGGCTCCAAATCTATAGCGATATCCCTCCACTTTCTTCTGTCTTTCCCTTTGTCTTCCCCTTATTATAAATTTTATTTTCTCCTTATATCATCATCAAATCGTATCCACATGATCCCCTTTTCTCCTCTCTTACTTTTATCAACATTCTTTTATTATTCAAATCATTCCCCCACACCCTAATTAAATGGATTTTCACTTCAATTTATTCTTCTTGCTTTTTAAATCACACACGTGGCATCCTATATCATGCTTTTCTTCGACATTGGTTGACTATTTGTTAATGGATGGGCTAAGGATTTTTTTTTTTTTTTTTTTTTTTTTTAAA